GGGGGAGATGGAAAACCCGTGACCATAGGACAAAAATAAAAAAAATTAGCGAGAGAAATTAAAAACAAAACGCATTTAAAAAATAAAAGTCTCCCCCACAGCACCCCCCTCCCCCATTTTCACTAATCTTCAGACTTAAACCAGGAAGTCACTAGCCTTTCATACCCCCAAAATAAAATAAAAACAAACGAGGCCATTTCAGCTCCAGTCACACGGTGACTGCTCCCCTCCATATCACTAGTAGCTGCATAAATCCTCTCTCTCTTTTTAATATGGCATAAAAACTCGTTACGTTACAAAAAACTACAGACCAATCTTCGTCCAGACTCTTTCTCTACATCCATTTTTGAGATAGCATTACTCTAAATCACCAATGCATCACCCAGGATTTTGTGAATCCAAATAACTTTCAGTCACTCTACAGCCCGTGTAAAAAGACACCATTTTTCTATAGGACTCTATTGCATATGACGTCATACACTTCCAAAAGCCAGAAAACACCTTACGTCACGTCGTTATCCCCTTTTCATATAAAAAATATCGAGAATTTTCTTTCCGTGTGCCCAAACGTGCAAAATGTAAAATAATAATTAAATGCTCTTCGCACCTTGCAAGTTATTAAAATGCACCTTCTTCCCCCCCCTTTAATTGTACATGGGAAAGGGGGGGGGGGGTTGCGTGTCCCCCGCAGTTTCGCAGCGCCGGGTTGTTGCGATGCAGAGCCGCACGCCACGCACGCACAGCGCCGCTTGCACCACTTCCCTGCAATCCGTCTCCACACCGAGCCCTCGCTTCCACAAAAACAGCAGCTGACCGCCAGGGCTTCCACTGCCTGCCTGGAACACCCCTTTTCCTCCGCGAGTCCTATATCCACCCAGCTGTACTCTCCGCGCTCAATACCGTGTCCTATGTCCTTTTTAAATGCAAACCCCCTGCGTGCGCGTGTACAGAGAAATACTGGACACTATCGATTCCGAATAACAAAAGCAGAAGCTACTGGAAAAGCTCTGCAGGTCTGGCAGCACCTCTGTTCTGAGGAAGGGCCACGGGACCCGAAATGATAACTCTTGATTTTTCTTCAGAGACGCTGCCAGATCAGCTGAGCTTTTCCAGAAACTCATGTTTTTGTTCTTGATTTACAGTCTCCTCTGTTTTCGGTTTTTATCGATTCCTAAGACCCGGTTCGAGATCAATACTAACGCCTACTATTAGGTTACCTATTGACGCTGTATTGAATCTGAAACTTTTGATCTTTCAACAACAGCCCCTTATCAGACAGCACCTACTGACGTTAATATCGGCTCTTACATTCTTAACTGTCAAGAGCTCTCTCATTATTGCTCGTTTGCTGCCTTCAAACTTTGTTTCAGTCACGGAATTGAGGTAGCAGCAGCATTTATTGTCCATCACTAAATTGTCCTGAAAAGGCGGCGGTAAACTGTGTTAGTGAACTACCGCGTCCACGTGCTGCATGTAGTTACTCCCTCGGTGTTGTTGGGTAGTAAATGTCAGGACGTTAAACCAGCAACGATGAAGCAATATCTAAGTCAGGATGATCGTGCCTTGGAGGGGTTCTTGCACGTAGTAATGTTCCTAAGCGCTTCCTGCTCGCTCATATGTTTTTCTAGAGTAGGAGTCATGGGTTTGGGAAGTCCTATGGAGGGAACACTGACGAGTTGGTGCAATTCATCATGGGAATAATTCATGTTGCAGGCATAGTGTGGCACTGTATGTCGAGCGAGCAAGTTGCTTTGTCATGCATAGTTAAGAGTTGTTAGAACTACGTTCATCCAAGCAAGTGCACAATCTAACTTATGCAAGTTGGGTGGTGAATTACTTGCTACACAATTTTCAGCGTTCTGACCTGCTGTCGAAGTCACACCATTTATGTGGCCAGTCCAATTAAATTATTGGTCAAAGGAAATGTAGAATGCAAACGGTGAAATGTTCTGCAGGTCTTGCTTTGTCTGGTCATAGTGTATAGGGAGAAGTGAGAGGCTGGAGTTGAGGCGACAATCACATCAGTCATGTTCACACTGAATGGTGGTGAGGCTAGAAGGGGCAGCTGGCCTCATCCTACTCCTAATTTCTATGTTCATATGAACTGCATACTGCACACTGCAATCATCACAATAGAACCCACATCTGGCATTATGGTGATAGAAAGATCACTGATTAAGCGGCTGAAAACAATTGGGACCCAGAGTCTGAGGAACTCTTGCAGTGAAGTCCTGGCCATGAGATGATTGGCTCCAACACCACACATCTTCCTGTGTGCTAGAAACAGCTCCAACAAATGGAGTGTTCCCAAAATTCCAATCAACATCACTTCCACTATAGCTCTTTGATGCAAGATTTGGTCAAATGCTGCCTTAGTATCAAGAGCACTCATTCTCACCTCTAGAATTCAATTATTTTTGTCTGGTTTTGGACCAAGGCTCTAATGAGATCCAAAATCTGGGTAGAAGCCAAACTGAATATTAAGGAGCAGGTTATATGGGAGTGTCATGTCCAAGAGGCATGAAGAGAGATCATAAATTGTTTTAAAAGCTGTACTTTGTTAAAATTTTAAAACAATTTTGTCTGGACTAAGACATGGCCACCAGCCATCACATGAAGCAAACTGAATTTCTGGAAGGGTTCCTATCAGTAGTTACCAGGCCAGCATTCCTCAGGGACATCATCCTCCTGGTATATCACACCGTTGTGACTACACTATGGCTTTAGATGTGTATTTTATCCTGGTTTCTTTTAAGAGAGAGCTTGGGGACAGGTGATGAGCAGTCTATGAGAAGATAAACAATTTGTGAGGCCTTGGGTATTTTTTTTTTTAAGTTGGAACCATAGAAGCAACCTGAGTAGATATGGTTATACTCTCACAGATCAAGGACTTTTAGTCAGCTTTCACAGTTGCTACTGGGGTCCTGAAGAAGTGGAAGCTATTTTTCTCTCTTCATTATAGAGAAAAACTAGCGTTCTCTTCCTGGGCTGCTACATTGCACGTGACACAAATCTGTTTCACTTCATTTTCTCTTTCTTTTTGTTTTGCCAGGGCTATTCTTTCCTTTTCCTTTTGCCTCGAATTCAACCTGCTTCATTTGCATTGAATTGTAGCCATTTCCAAAGATTCTGATGGCATTTCTGACAATCGTAAATGTCAAGCTATTGTTACAATTACCCTCCCTTTTTGCATGGACAAAGACAACCCCAACTCCAGCCAGTCTGCCAATTCCAAAAGATTTGTCTTTCTCACGTTCTATAAAACTCCCGAAGTGACTTCTTCCACCCCCAGGAACCTCTTAGTGACTGAAAAAGCCATTACTACACAAGGCACATCCTGTTTAAACCAACTGAATTCAACAGCCAAAACAAAAGACACTAACACTTACGACTCGCTGCCTTTGAGTCCAATAATCCTGAACCCAATGTGGAATTAGAGATTCTGATCTTGAACGAACCTCAAATTTGTTATGGACCAGACCCTCTCACAATATATTAAGAGGATAGCCCAGACCCTAACTTTTTCTTATTTTAGAGGTAAATATCAAGTGCTGTGTTCCAGATGCAATTATATTGGTCAAACAACTCAATGTTAAGCAAAACAATTTATTAAACACCATAGTTAAAATACAACAAAAGAAAGAAGAACTTGAAGTAGCAACTCTGTTGGAAAACTTAGAATAATAGACATAGTAACTACTACTAATTAACTGTTTAAAATAGTAACATCTCAAACACTCTTGGCAAAAGGCAAATTCAGAAAAACAGGATCTGTCTCATGTGCAATCCAGCAGCCAAGGAAGAGAACTCCCAGCATTTGGCTGTAATTGAAAGAGGGAAAAATAGCTTCCACTTCTTCAAGATCCCAACAGCAACTGCTGAAAGCCAACTAAAAAATCCCTTATCTGTGAGAACTTGACCACACCCACTCAGGCTGCTTCTATTGTTCCAACTTTTAAAAAAAGCCCTCAAGTTATTTATCTTCTCATAGACTGCTCATCACCAATCCCACCCCCCAATCTCTCTCTCTCTCTAAAAGAAAACAGGACAAAACACACCTCAAAGCCACAGCATCATCACATCCTTGTATTGTATGAATCTTGCAGACCAGAAACACAAAGATCAGTAGACAAGATGTCTCTCCCAGCTAGTTCTGAACAAAGCAGAGCAACTGAAGCTCATTATGCCTGAAATAACACTAACAGTTCACCACTGATCTCATAAAATGAAAAATGGTCCTAGCCAGACACAGAAAGCAATTGTTACATAGGTACTACTTCATTCAGTCACATGATAAAATCCTGGTCTTTGAAAAAAAAGAATTAATTTCAATTTCTGGACTGCCTTACTTCAGTCTGGTAAAAAGTTTGCTATTAACATCAAGTCAGTCTGTTAAGAAATTCACTGGCAACATGGCAGCCAAACTCCAGGCTTAGCTAAGCCTACCTGTCATCCAAATTCAGATTCCCATCTGAAATTTAGTTTCAGAAGAGACCTTGCATCTGCTGGAAAGGGGAGCACCACCCTCATCTCATTGTGCCTTCATCAACTTTAACAGGAATTTGATATTTTCTAATCACTCTGTTCAGAGATTACATATCTCTGAAGCAGGTGTGACCTGAACCCAGGCCCCAGTGGTTGCAACATTACCTCTGTTCCACACGAGGCCTATTTTCAAAAGGAATCATGTAACTTCAGCCAACTGTACCCACCTTAAGTATGCATGCCTATGGAAAAGAGCTTTTATTGCACACTAACCTCTAGACTCAGTCAAAATATTGTGAATTAATAATCATATCTTTGAATTTAAATTACTCAACTGTAAACATTTTCCTTTCTCATCTTCCCTGTATGCTTGTGATCATACACCCCAAGAATTATCCCCAGGTTTAAATGCATGAACAAATCACACTTTTAGTTTAACCCTAAACAGAGTTTATTGCAGGTCATTTAAAAATAGGACTTCACAGAGGGTTTCTCAGGGCAAACACAAATGGCCCATTTTAAGATTTCTTTTTAAAAAAATACTTTTTACTAATGGATACATTGGGAGGAAAATAAAATAACTGAATTTAACTCTCCCTCCTGTCTGTAACAATAAGGAGGCTCTGCAAGATACTGCTGTGGACAACACCATCTATAATTTTGGTCATGATTGCAATGAGACTGAAGAAGCAACCGTTGGTCAATTGGATTTTCTTGATTTTTATGGACAAGAACACAATTGGTTAATTTTCCACATCATTGGAAAAGTGCTATTGTTGCACTGTACTAGAACATTTTGGCAAGAGGTATTAATAGTTCTAGGAGCAATTCTTCAACATCATAGGTGAGTGTCTTCACTGCTCATATCCTTTCCTGAATATTGTGTGTTGTGTTTTTCATACCACATGGAGTGAATCACATGGTTGAAGAATGTCATCCTTGATGGGGAAGGAAGAGGCTAAAAAGAAGCATTCAGGTGACTGTGAATGCTTCAGCCATTGATGTTGGGTATGTTCGTGAAACCTCCTATTAGTGGTTTTAGTTGTCCACCATCATTCATAACTGGAGGTGGCAGGAATTCATAAAAGTCTTTGGTCCAATTAATTGACTGTGGGATCACTTAACTATGTCCACAGCAAGCTGCTTCTGTAGTTAAACATGCATCAACCAGATTAGTACCTCATTTTTAGGTACATCTGATGCAGCTGCTGGTATGTTCTTATACAATTTGGTTGCTGATGTTAGCCCACATTGCCTTAGATGCCCTATACCGAGCTGCAGAATCTGTTCTGAATCCATCCCATTTAGCACAGCAGTACACCAACACAATGGAGAGTCTCCTCGGTGTGCATGTGGCATTTTATTTCCATAAATACTTTGAGGTGGTTCCTCCTACCAACACTTACAGATAAATAAATCTACCACAGGAACACTGGTGAGAATGAGCTTAAGTAGGGCTTTTAGATTCATAGAACTGTACAACATGGAAACAGACCCTGCAGTCCAACTTGTCCATGCCAACCAGATATCCCAAATTAATCTAGTCCCATTTGCCAGCATTTGGCCTATTTCCCTCTAAACCCTTCCTATTCGTATACCCATCCAGATGCCTTTTAAATGCTGTAATTGTAGCAGCCTCCACCACTTCCTCTGGCAGATCATTCCATATACGCACCACCTTCTGCGAAAAGAGGTTATCCCTTAGGTCTCTTTTAAATCTTTCCCCTTTCACCTTAAACCTATGCCCTCTAGTTTTGGACTCCACCATGCCAGGGAAAAGACATTGGCTATTCACCCTATCCATGCCCCTCATGATTTTATAAACCTCTATAAGGTCACCCGTCAGCCTCCAAAGCTCCAGTGAAAATAGCCCCAGCCCATTCAGCCTCTCCCAATAGCTCAAACCCTCCAACTCTGGCAACATCCTTGTAAATCTTGTCTGAAACCTTTCAAGTTTCACAACATCCTTCCAATAGCCTGTGTGTTGAATCCATCACCACCCACCACAGACCCACTCTGGCAGATGTACTTCAAGACTCGG